TTAGTGTACTGTTTTTTTGAGAATATTTTGTTTTGTTTTTAGTGCATTTTGTTTTGTTTTTAGTGTATTTTGTTTGGAAGTCGGTTTTGTAATAAAAAGCCCTACACTTACGTCACGCTTTAGGCTATATATTTTCACGCAATATAACTTAGGGGGAAAATATTTTGGATAAAAACTATAATGTGGGAAAGAGACCATAAGTTGCTGAACATTAAGGAAGCAAGATTGTCATAGTAAGGTAATTGGTATGTTGACATTTGCAATAAAGTTTTTTATAATTTCATGCGGGTGAAGCCACACGGGTACGACATTCGCACATCAGGTGCGTTCTAACTCAGTGAATGTATTGTAATCACCATTAATTGGCACACAAGATACATTCGACATGGTGTGTGTTTGTGGAGGCTCTAACAAGTATTGCAATATGTTGTAGTTGATAAGGCTTGCGCGGTAAACAGGTCTGTGACCTGGTTACAGCGCGTACTATACGCGTGAGTACAAGTGTTATATGAGGTAAGCTATCGATGCTTGTACAAATACGAAATTGAAGAAATATTATTGAAGATGGAGTGAAATACAGGCTCAGAGTTTTATTGTTTTGTTTTTTTTTGTTAATGTCTATTAGATTATTTGGCTTGCCGTTTGGAATTTTGTATTCCAGCCGATATTCTTAACATGATTCTTGTCTATTTCTTTTACATATATAATTTGTCTATATATATGTTTTTCGACAGTGGAAATAAACCGTAAATAGTTAATTTATTAGTACTAAAATTTCGATATTGTGTTAATTGTTAGCATCGTTAAGTGACTCGCAGGCAGCTAAATGTTCTCGCTAAACAATTAACTTGAAAACTCAATAAATAAGTTGATAGAATTCGAGAATATATTTACGACTATATCACTTAAAAATGTTTTTTTAAATATCATTTATTACAGATATACAAAGCTCCATTTTACTTTATAATATTAGTATGCATGTTAGCTACGTAATCTATGCCCATAAAACACTAGACATTTTTTAAACAAACATAAGTGGTACAACAACAAATGGGTGGGTTTTATTTGTTTAAAGCCTTGTATCATATTCTCGGCCTTTTCATTCCTTATGCAAAAAAGAGAGACAACTCTCGGCAGTGTACAAGACACTGCTACTGACAGAACTGGCTAAAGAATTTAAAACGTTTGTTATGACTTGAAGTAGGTCATTTTACCATAAGATGAATGGCCTCGTAACGTAGTAACGCACCTCGTACTCTCGCGTACACTTTTTTGTGCAACGAAAACAAACCGGTTTTGTACAGCGATTGTCAAACTTTGTAACGATAGCATCAATGGCTCGCAATAGGCTACTATAGCAGAGTATAGCCGAATATAGCCGAATCACAAATCGTTACTACTATCGTAGTACACAAGTGAGAAGTGATTTGAAAGTAATGAACGTTGTTTAAACTCTACTAAATAACAGACTAAGCCGAAGCTGATGATGGGTAGACAGGAATGATTAATGGGAGGCTGTTAATCCAATTTATGGAACGAAATAGTTCGCCTTGATTAAATTATTTGGTACTAGCTGTTGCTCGCGACTTCGCCAGCGTGTAATTAAAAAAAAAAATAGTAAAAACGTTGCTCAGGAACATAGATTTTAAATGGTGTAAAAATTTGATATCGGTCAAGTAGCTTTTGAGTTACATGAATACATACAAAAATACAAATCATTCCTCTTTATAATGTTAGTAGTAAGTATAGATAATAAAGTTTGAGCATCACTTTACGCTTGAATGAATTAGATGAACAGAAAAACATAGTCACGATATTTTGTGAATTGTAACAGTCACGTATAATTCGAAGTGGAAAAAAATTAATCGACTTCTCAGAATTTTTAGTAAAAAAAGATAGATATATAAGTTCTATGGCGAGTCAGATGTATTTAAAAAATTCTGCGTAGTAATAGGAAAGAGGAAAGCGTCGCCTACAAAAAGTGATTCATAACTTATGAAATTGGCGCGATAAAGTAACGATTTCTTGAACTCGGAACTAATGAAATTATAAGAAAACTAGCTGTTGCCCGCGACTTTATCCACGCAATATTAAGATAAAAAAAGTAGTCTATAACATGCCCGTCCATGTCAGCTACCCTTCAGTAAAAGTCCGATCGAAATCGGTCCAACCGTTTCGGAGATTACCCGTAACAAACGCGGCTTACTGTCAGACAGACAAAAACTTTTAAATCGTTATCAATAACACAAATCATCTTTCCGAAATCTTGAATTTTTCTTAGCATATTACAAATAGACACTCCAATTTTATTACATGTATAGATATAAAGGAATAGATATAGATTATGTGCCAATTAATGCTAGACAATTAGTTTAAGTTGCTTATGACCGTGGGCACATTCTAACCTCTATCCATGTTGTTCTATCTCTCTCTTAGATAGAGATATTTGTTGTGGGCTAAATTAACCCACGGTTATATCGATAGAATGCCACGTATTCTCTTTTTACAAATATTTTTTTTATAGTTCAATTCTTTAAATCAGACAAGATAAAGAGATAATGTGGGATTACCTTTGAGTAAAAATAAACCACGTTGACTAATAATAAAATGCGGGAAATACGCTTATCTTAAGAGTTATTCTGTTTTCCTACATATTAGATAGATAGAGATTGAAGCCCTCTAGTAGATAGAATGCATTTTCGGAAAGCAATCTGTGGTTTGGTTATTGAATACGTTTAGTAATTTTTGGATTGAAATTTAGATCCGAGATCACTTAAAAACGATCGAGGATGCGTTATTGAGACCGGTCGTAAGTGTTTAATTATATCCATCAGATAAAAAATGTTCTTTTCATACATTTTTAAACACAAAACCATTTGATAAAACTCTTACTTCAAACTTTTTTTAATTTCCTCATCGCTATGGTGCAATGAATTCGATGACGACTTCAAGGAAATTAAAAAAATATATTTTAAACCTGAATCATCAATCTTATAAAGGTTTTTTTTTCTATATCTTTAACATATCCTTATATGTGTCACAAGCATGGAGTGTTGTAACGCTTTACCTTGTCAACTGTTAACTGTAGTGGTTACCTTGACTCTTAGTACTTTTTAAGCCCGAAGCCATAACGAAAGCCATTTAAAATATACTTTAAACAATACTGGTTTTAGGTAGTAGCGCCTTGGGCAAATATGAAGCCTTCTTTTTTCTTTGGGGGGAGATTAACAAGGACTTCTGGAGTTTATGACGCCCAACCGCGCCCTAAATTAAATTAATGCGATGGACATCTATAGTATAACTTGATTATTCTTTTGCGTTATTCAGTATAATTTGAATTTAAGTTGAGAGTAAAATCTATACTATTATAATAAAGCGTAAACACACACTTCTTTGTTGCCTAAGATCTTAGCAATTATAGCATATTTTTGAATAATTCTTTTTTTAATAAAAAGCCCAACACTTACGTCACGCTTTAGGCTATATATTTACACGCCATTAAACTTTAAATATTAAATATTTTAGATAAAAACCCTAATGTGGGAGAGAGACCATAAGTTGCAGCCAACATCAAGGAAGCAAGACTGTCAAGGTATGTCATGTCATGTCATTGTGACATTTGCTATTGATAATTTGACAAATGTAAACAATAAAATAAAATTTGCACAATTTCATGCGGATGAAGTCGCATGGGAACAGCTAGTAGTTACTAATAATGTACGTAAATTTTGTCATAAGTACATCTATAATCCTCACCTTTTTATAGTGTAAATATGATTCATCTAAATTATTTCAATGTCTTGAATTATCAATACCTAAATACTCGTATAAATTGATCTACGTCTTGTTCACAGTTAGTCATGCGGTAAGGAATCTATTATAATTTGCGTATTTAACAATTAAATAGTTCGTGGTTTTTGTTAATCACGTTTTTATGTAATTGCATACAATTGTATAATTAAATAAAATCACGATATTATATTACGTTAACATTACTTCCTTTATGTTTAATCCAAACGAAGTAAATAAGTCAATAACGTATTGCAAAAATAACTTAGCTTTGTAAAAGCTGTAGATTTTATAAGTATTCTTATTGTTTTTGGGATAGTCAGATGTAATTGATTTTCAATTTGTTAGAATTTCAAGAATAAGACAGCTTCAAGATGATTTTCGCAGGGAAATGAAATAAATTATTTTATAAAAAAATGTTTATTTATTTTCTTTAAAAACGAAATGGCTTAAGACTAGGTACGACTTTTACATAATATCTCTTTTATTTATAAAAATATGTCTTAAATATAATGTATGGTGTGACGCGCGCTTGCTATAAAAATTATATCTTTTGCATGCAAAATATATACATATGTGTACTGTAGGTACATTCTCTTTGGCATGCGGATTGCAAACATTAGCACACGGAACTAAACGATTACAACTTTTACAACTACATTCGACAATCGTTCAGTCCTCAGACACAAACACGGTTAACATACGGACGGAAACTTTCCTCTACTACATTACATAGACGGACCGACATACAGAGACGACATTAAATAACTATATAAATACGCAATGATTGCGACACAACGCGAGAACTACGAACACCTGTCAATAGCACGGCGCTTGAATACACAATAAAAATGACGAAATCCTAAGGCGGGGGCACACTGTTGCGTAAAAATTAACATACATCGATGGTCGATTTGTAAACAAATACCAAACATTTATATTGAACCGTAAGTCGTCGCAATAAAGCCTATAAGTTGGTCGATCGAAGGTCACTAATTTCACATAAGAGACCTTCTTAAGTGGGACACGATCGAAAATCTCAAGTAGCTATCCATGGATTCTTTTAGCACTTCACTAGGCGGTTGCGCAAGCCGCGCGCGCAATGAACACATCACATTAACATAGTGTGGCAGGGAGGGGGGAAGGTCAGTTGACAGATTACGAGATGCAATTGAGTACCATTGTGACTCAAGGCAGGTAATGAATCATGGAATCAGACGAGGAAATTACTGATTAAGCCCAATCTAAGACAGTGTTACAGCCGACCCTAGGCGTGGCCCCCACACAATGCACAGATACACTTTAGAAATCAACAACTTAACCTAAACATTTAAATAAACGCGTATTTAATTGGCCTTTGAATAACTGCATAATGAACTCGCAACTTAATTGATACCTCGGTAATGGCTAGATCACTTAAATGGTAACTAGGGTGACATAAGTAGATGTGACATGTAAATGATCAGGAAAAACCGGGACAAAGATTCCTAAATTCCTTCCCCGAAGGAAACGAAGTTCATCCCTACGTGAGCGGAGCGCCGTGAAAGCGTTCAGTGAAAACTTTTAGTAAAGTCACTACAGGCGTGTCGATGTCGCGTCGTATTCGAGTTACTAACTAAGATGGTACAAATCGGCGGTACAATTAATACTGACTGAGGTCGGCATCAGTGCTAGCACTCCGTCTCACCCTCCTTGCGCTCCGTAATGTAGTGCTCCACCTCCTGCAGCGAGTTGAACAGCTTCCAGGCGAGCACCACACCCGCGATCTCCAGCAGCGAGATTATAAGGGAAGCGCCAGCAACGGACGAGCTAATAATCTTCGTATAAACAGAGGCAACTTTAGCACAACCGAGCCTCTCATTGGCTTCCTTGTCGGTGAATTCGCATGTGGCGCGGTAATAGCTATCCTGGCAGCAGGTGAGCGGTAGGTCGTTCCTCCAACTGCGGTAGTCGCGAGCGTCGTTGGCACCGCAGCAGCGGAGCTTCCTCTCGATGCGCCCGAACGCCTTGAACACGTCCGGATTGGATTGCGAGTTATAGTAGCCATCGTACACCGTGTCCTTTATGAATCTGTCGGTGTCCTCGCCGTCCACAAACACGAAGATGAGCGTGGCTGCGATCACCTGCCCGATCACGATCAGGATGAGGAATATCGCGTAAATTCCCAGCAGTCCTCGGCTCTCCTTGTTGGCGCCGCACCAACCGCACAACGCTATCATCATGACGAACAAGCCCAGAAGGATGAACAGCCATGGTGCTACTTGCGGCCAGTACACTCGGTAATCCAGCAAGTAGTGATTGGTATTCCTCAGGGTCACAAACTCAGTAAGCTGCACGAAGAACCAGATGCCAGTGGCGGCTGTCACCAGCCCGAACAATGCGTATAGTACATTGAGGATGTACAGCACACCCTTGATCAGCTCGTCCTTAGCCATGTTGTCGACCGTCGCCTCCGATAGCAGCCTTCGTAATGAAAAGCGCGCCGCTGACGCAACTAGTTTTATAAAGCGTGCGCGGGCGCCGCTCGGGGATTTGTTTTGCGCGAATTTGAGCTTTATCGTTGACACACTTTCAGAGTCAGCGCGCACACGATTGTAGAAGGTGGACACGATAACCGCCTGCTCTACACGACTAACTTATACGCTATGAGATTTTTGCACTTACACTCTGCCATTACAGTTAATTCATTAACGACTAAATAACTAATTACCATAGCCTAAAGTACAGTTAAATTAACTTTTCAAAGCAAGCATTGCGTGTCTTATTAATACACATTAATTATTTTTACTATTATTATTAATTACAGTCATTTAAGCTCATTATTTGCTGTTACAACATATTTGTGTAATTGATAATTACAATGTCGTAAATCGGATGCTATTTATAAATTAACAATTCTAGAGATTCGCTTTGACATCGATTATTCAATAACCGTGAGAAGTTAGTCGCTTTCTCTCAGTGAGAAGGGAAAAACATTTCATCGGCGGGAATGCATTAAAATCTTAATTCTAAAACTGCAATATTTCTTATCTATTTGGTCACTGATTTAAAAATTACACAAGTGGTCTTTTTTAAAACATCTTCAAGAAGAAGGTCACATTCTTATATTAAGTAGCACTAAAGTGTGTCAATAAATACTTACAAATATTGCAAAATTTGGTCACAGCTGTAACACGCGATTTCCCGCCTTATATCGTCTACGTAACCGTCGATAAAGACTAGATTCGCATGCGTTATAACACGCGCTGGACCAAAGTAACAACCTGTCGTTTTAAAAGGTAAGATGACGTAATTATTACGATCAGCCAATCGCAATCATTGGCGTTTGATCACTCACAAGTAACACATCAGATCTTCACTTAGAGTCTTTACAGTAGAACTTTTTTACTCTCGGATTCATATTGCACGACCATCGGCGGAGGTCTGATCGCTAGGGATTTGTAAAGGCCGACGGCGATAGCTATAGCTATAAGGCCGATGAACGCTATGAATATTGATGCTGCCGACATCACCTTTATAGCGATCCTGGCGTACTGCGCGGCTACCGTGGAACAGCCGTAGCGCTCGTTGGCCAGCTTGTTGGTAAACTCACACTCGATAGTATAGGGGTCAAGGAAGCCGTGGTAGTAGACGTCGCAGCAGGACATCGGGAATTCAGCCTTCCAGTTCTTGTAGTCGCGAGGGCTGTCAGCACCGCAGCAGTGTAGCTTGCGCTCGATGCTGCCAAACGACGCCGCCACCTCGTTGTCCGTCTTCGCCTGGAAGTACACGTCCCACACGGTGTCCTTCACGAAGTCATCCGTAGACTTATTATCGGCGAATACAAGTGATATCACAGCGGCGGTTATCAACAACAACACAACAACAGACATGCTGATTATGTAAACTGCGAGTAGACTACGACTGTTTTTTTTGGCGCCGGAGAATCCGCACGAATTGACACACAACACTATCACACTGACGATTAAGAAGATCCAGGGTATAGCTTGAGGCCAGTACAGTTTGTAGTCGAGGAGGTAGTGGTTGCTGTTTCTCAGGCTGGTGAATTCGTACACTTGGCAGAAGAACCAGATGGATGCCGCGGCTAGTGCTAACGCGAGCACCAGCATGGCACCATTGAGCACGTGCAGCAGCACTCGGAAACCTTCGCCTCGAGCCATGTCGTGTGATAAGATCTGTATGTGTAGCGACCGCACGCGCACGTCCGTCCCGCGCAAGTTTCACAATTGAATGGCGTGCCGGCGCCGCGGACGGCGGTTTTATTTAACGGCGATATAGTACTCTGATCGATCCTTTCCGCGGTGAATCATCAGCGCGGATTCTGTTTATGACTCTATAGATTTTTTTCCTGTCATCTGCGTCATATTTGGACATTAATTAATCAAACTGTTGATAGTAAAAAGAATTGTTAATTCATTTGTACATCATTAGTTCTAATGCAATTATGTTGCAGTTTTTGAGAATGATATTTACTTCTAATTACGATAAAGCCTGAAAAAAACGTTCGAATAGAAAATGTAATGTATTTCAAAGAAGGTTTTATTAAATAAGCATTATGTCTAGCTTTTTGTTGTTTACTAAAATGTAACGTAAAAGACTAGAGTTATAATCACTAAGGGAGGGTGAGCTTAGATCTGGAGGGGAGATAAAACGGGTAATACTTAAAAAGGGGTAGTTTGTTGTGTTTTTTCCCTCAAATTACTTTATTCTTTTTTGCTATTAGTATTCGTAATGTTGTTTTTGTTGAGTTTAAATGAAGGCCTTGTTTTTTAACATACTTTTTAACAAAATACACATTAGTATACGATACTTTCGAAGTAAAATATTTTATAAGAAAAGTCATAGCCAGACGTTCTTATTTGGGGTTTAATCAAATATTTTTGGCATAAAGAGTTGAAATTTAGTCGAAATAAACAATATATTTCAATATTTCTGACCACAGAGTATAAAATGTTCCATCAATGATAGTGTAGTCACAATGAGTCAGGGGCGAGGTGACCGCGACAAGGTCCTTGTAAACAGTCTTTATCTGGTCGCAATGGACGTCAATTGAACAGTTACTGTGATGAACTAAACCTATTTGAGCTTAAATTAGAATCGACCAGTTTCCAATAAATTTATATTCTGCATTTGGTAAGGCTTCTTATTCAATAATTATTTAAGTGGATGTACTGTCGTAAGATTGAATGTTAACAGTGTTGAAGTAGTAAAGTTTAATAGTATTATTTACTACTATGTTTTAACGCGGTCGTGAAGATGTTCGTTGCTTACGTTATATCACACTAATTTCCAAAACAAACACGGTGAGATATCGCCGATGTATTTGCTATTACTCATACGGATAACTCGATTTGTATGTCTTTATTATTCAATTATTTAGCAAGATCGTGCGGGGGGTCACATTGTGTTTGTTAGATTTCGTTAAAATTTACTAAAGAATATATCGTATCTATTCTAAAAGCGCGCACACCTTTGACTAAATTATCGCAAAACTGTTTAGTCTCGCTTTGATTCCTATGAGCGCATATAGAGACTACTCGCTATTTAATTGTGCAACTAAACAGTTGAATTGGCTGCGAAACAAACGACAATCGCTCATCAGTTGTGCGATAGTTTAGTTGCAGGTGTGCGCTCTTAACACCCCTTCAAGGATATGGTTCACAGTCAAGATATGAACTCGGGACTACGTGACTACTAACCAACTTAGAAATTAGGCTATTGACGTCTTAAATAGTTTCTAGTTAAACTTGTTTTGCTTATTATTTACTCTTATAAATTTAAAAAGAAAACTCTAAAACTGCATTTTGTTTTATTCTATTTTTTATCTAGATTTCTATGATATTTGGCATAGACGTAGAGGATAGTCTGGCAGAACAATTAGGCTACTCAGTTTTGTTTTTTTTCAATCCCACGCGAACCGAGTCGCGGGCGAAAGCTAGTATAAAACACAACTCCAATTCAATTGTACCGTAGTAAACATTGTAATTAAAAACAAGGGGGTTTTACCACTTGTAGGGTGTGGCTACGCAACACGCAATATTATCGATTTTTTGACAACAATTACGTATTCCAGTCAAAATGTTATGCGTAATGCAAGTAGTGTTGCGACAATATTCCGATTTATTATAACAATAGATGTCGCTGCGGTCGATAGATGTTTAGATGAAGTTTGTCAGAGTTGCGGAAATTGTCTACTAGGGGCGCTATAGTAGACGATCTTTATGGTACTTAGAAAAGTTTGGGTTAAGCTAAAACCCTTTGTTATACTTTATCCATCTAGTGTTTGAAGGTTTTTTTATATCTTAGTAGTATTATAAATGCGAAAGTTTGGATGGATGAATGGATGGATGGATGGATGGATGGATGGATGGATGGATGGATGTTAGAGTTTGTAGCCTTAACTACTGAACGGATCTCGATGACATTTGGTGTAGATGTAGAGGATAGTCTGGAAGAACACATAGCCTATTTGCTTTTGTTTTTTTTTTCATTCAACGCCGACCGAGTCGCAGGCGAGTTTGTTATTTAAAACTAGTTTTCGCCAGCTGGCATTAGTGCCATAATTTTCGCAAGTTTTATAACTGAGTCACTTTATGAGAAATGAAGATATGAAAATGTTTTTTTTTTTTTAAGAAATAGCAATACAATAAAAGTACTGTTTGTTTTGTTTCTAATAACGATACGAATATATTCTGGTTTCGGGACTTAAAATTGACGTAGGATGTTCGCGTATTGAAAAACTTCCTATTGAAACACGCCCTAATAAACACATGGATGATTTTATTCATGAACCCCTGCGGGGTGGCAGAGGGTGGCATTGGGTGGCATTGGGTGGCATTGGGTGGCATAGGGTGGCATGTCTGGCTAGTTACCATAACTGGCCGTCAAAGTTCCACTTAGTTAGAAGTCGGGGCGCAGTTGCGTCGCTAACGAAAAAACCCAACAGAAAAGTTTTTAGTTATTCATAAAGTTATTATAAGATTTTCAAAGTTAAGGCTCCGGTTTCTTGTCAAAATGCCTTTTTATAATGTTATGTAGCCATTTAAGAATTTAATGGAAAAAAGTGTTTGAACAATGTTTTTAATTGACCTCTGACATTTATACATTTATATGTCTAAGTTAGTTTCACTTTAAGGCAACTGGCAAAGAAAAGGAAAAAGAGAACTGCATAGTATCAGTGAAAATAACTTAGGGCGCGCTACATACTCTCAGTTCTGACAGTTTTAACTGATGTGTCGTATTTCAGTTAAAATTGTGCGTCCGATTGCACAACTTTAACTTTGCCTACACGCAGTTGTAGCTGAATAGTTAGACTGTTCTGTAAAAACTATTAGAATTGAACGTCTTTAGATATTGATTGTAAATAATTTTAGGTACAGTTTTTGTTACAAAAATATTAGAATTGACTTCATAAATGTTACTTACGTGTATCCTATATTTAATTAATATTCCGATATATATATAGACAGTTCTAATCTATCTATACTATTATAATAAAGCGTAAACACACACTTCTTTGTTGCCTAAGATGTCAGCAATTACAGCATAATTTTGAATAATACTTTCTTTAATAAAAAGCCCTACACTTACGTCACGCTTTTGGCTATATATTTTTACGCCATTAAAATTAGGGGGTAAATATTTTGGATAAAAACCCTAATGTGGGAAAGAGACTATAAGTTGCTGCCAACATCAATGAAGCAAGGTTGCCACGGTTTTTCAGCGTCATATCATTTTGACATTTGCAATTGATAATTTGACACATGTAAACAAGAAAATGAAATTTTCATATTTTTATGCGGATGAAGTCGCACGGGAACAGCTAGTATTACTATAAACGTAATAAAAATATAACCTTCATTCATAACTTCATAATATCTAACTTCCTTACATAAATACAGTCACGGTCCGTGCGTAGTGCGTACGATCGTATGACTCATACCTCTAAGAATTAACACCCAAATGCCGAGAACAGAGATTCAATTTATATTTATTATTACTTAGAATTGAATGATGTGTTTTGGTACTTGTTGAGTTTGTCATTTGTTAAATAATGAGTTACATTCCTTCCATTATTAACATAATCTAACTAACATTATAAATGCGAAAGTTTAGATGGATGTTTGTTAGAGTTTGTAGCGTAAACTGCTGAATAGATCTCAATGAAATTTGGTATAGATGTTATGGATGGAAGAACACATAGGCTACTTACTTTTTTTTTTTTAATTCCAAGCAGACGTAGTCGCGAGCGAAAGCTGTTCCCGTGCGATTCATCCGCATAAAATTATAAAAAAATCGTTTTATTGGAAACATTTGACAAATTATCAAATGCAAATGTTGTCAAACCATGGCAACCTTGCTTCCTTGATGTTGGCAAAAACTTATGGTCTCTTTCCCATATTAGGGCTTTTATCCAAAATATTTACTCCTATGTTTAATGGCATGAAAATATAGAACCTAAAGCGTGACGTAAGTGTAGGGCATTTTATTAAAAAAAAGAGTTATTCGAAAATATGCTGCAATTGCTGAATTCTTAGGCAACAAAGAAGTGTGTGTTTACGTTTTATTATAATAGTATAGATTTAAGTTTACGATGTACTTCGCAACTTCACTAATTCACTATAGGTTTTTTTATCCGCAGTACAGTTATCTAGGTAAGTATTATCTAAATGTAGAAGTCAAGATCACTATTTATAACAATGTGAGCCTCCATTACAGAACAATTATGTGTCGTTACACAATTGAGCGGCGTCGGGCGCGGCCTTGTGTTCAGCTCAGACCTGTTCCCGCACGCAAACTAAATTGATGACTACTTTTATGCTATTGAGTGGAAAATGTACCATCTGCTCTTGTAATCTGTTGCTTCACAATTATGTTATCGTAGCTTTCGGAGTCCGCACGAAAGATAAAAAAACTCAGCAACTAAGTAGCCTGTGTTCTTTCAGAGTATGTTATACATCTGTGCTAAATTTCATCGAGATCCATTCAGCAGTTTAAGGTACAAGCAATAACAGCATCCATCTATCTAAACTTTCGCCCATCAATCTTTCTTATTTGTATAGATGATAATTAAGAGAAAGAATGTAATTTGATATTTAGTTACGGAATTCACTACAGCGTAAGTGTACGAATAAGTAATATTCATAAATTAACTTTCGCCCGCGACTCCGTCTGCGTGGAATAAAAACAAAAGTGAGTAGCCTATGTGTTCTTCCAGACTATTCTCTTCATCTGTACCGAATTTCATTTAATTTCGTTCAGCCGTTTAGGCTACAAACTCTAGCATCCATCCTTCTATCTAAACTTTCGCATTTATTAGAAAGATGTGGTTTTACAATTTTTTTTTTCTTAATAAATTATTGTCATTGTAATTGCTTTATAAATCGTTTTAACTCTAAACAAAATCAGTCTTTTAACTCGTATGTAACAAAGAAAACATCAAAAGATTTTACAGACCTCAGTACCTTTAGTGTAGTGTATACATGTTTGTCTGTCCGTGCAGGTGTGCATTGCACTTTCTGTCGTCGTTCCAAAACGGAACCTTTTAAAGCCGCCCCTTTGACGTAGCCATGGAGTTACGAATGACGCAGCTATCTAGAGGAGGCACTCTACTTTGATTGCTTTTTAGTTAAGTTACTGCTCACAGAGGACTATTGCCGCACTCACACTGCTATATTACCACCGTTTTTGTACAAGGAAAGGATGGGAGGGGTAAGTGGATTTACCTGGGGATGAGACGCATAAGTAAAGAAACTATACTCTTTCTCTGCGTCTTTCTTTGTCTATAGGCAGCGCTATTTTAGCGATTTCAGGTGGCAGCGTGCTCATTTACACTATAAAAAAATCTTTCATACATCTATCAGTCGTCATATTTGAATTTACTGATTCTCAACAAAATCAGTGCACAAATAAAAGTGAATACATTAATTCGGTCAGCAATTAATTGATTAACCACTATTTACCATTAAAAATTTAATGACTTCTCCATTACACATTACAGCTCTCAGTTACACGATTACAAATTCACGTCGCGAACATTTTATTGACTACCGTTTATGAGTTGTGAATCACTCTCGTTACCCTGAATAGCCAGCAATGGTTTAGTCACAGCAAGAATGTGGTCGCTACCTTTACGACCTGTTGCGAAACTAGTCAATAGACAGGTTTTTGTTTATTTACATATGTTTAGATATGTACAGCAAGTTGGAAGGAAGTTATGTGACTTATGATGTGAATGAAAGTTAAAGAAACGACTAACATAAATAGGTTATTACGACAACAAAGGGATCGGTAATACTAAGTTGTAATATTTTTTTATAAATGACTAGCTTTTACTCGCGACTTCGTCGACGTAAAATTGAAAATTGTAAAAATATATATTTAATGGTGAGAGAATTTTTAAAAAGGCAATTTGCATTAAAATACAAAACTCTTTATATCAGTATAGGTATTTTATTGGTTACTAGCTTACGTCCGCGTGGAATTAAAAAAAAACAATACTAGTAGCCTTTGCGTTCTTCCAGACTATCCTCTACATTTATGCCTAATTTAATCGAGATACGTTCAACAGTTAGGCTACAAATTCTAAAAACATCCGTCTAAACTTTCGCATTTATAATATTAGTAAGATAGCTTTCAGACTTAAGGTAACGTTTAGATTACTATAGTTTGTCGATATCGTCACATTTAGCAATTTCTACACTACACTAGATAAAAGTCGATTAACTAATTAAATTTCTTATTTTTGCTCCAGTGTTGTAATATCGAGAGTACTCGTGTAATCGTGTAGCGCAACCCTATCCAATCGCACTTAACACTTCACAAAACTCGTATAAATCATCGCATATCCCCAGATTACGGGCGTTCAGTACAGCGCCATCTATCGCCCGCGCCCGGCTTAGCGATAAGTCCTTTCAGCGTTTTAATTGTCTCCAGCGCTCAGAGGGTTAAATCCGTCTCGTTCTATTTATGCTTTCATACGCTCTTTTTAAATGAATTCGTTCCTAATGTCAACATGTATAGAACAACCGTGCAAGGGTTAAGTTTATAGGGTTGTCACGATATATTTTAATAGACTTAATTTTTTTATTTACCCTGTTATTAATTCTTAAGATCTATGCCAAACGAGGTTAAGCAGAATAAAAAATCTATGGTTTAAGAATTACAATCAAATAAATATCCATATTTTAATATTACCCTAGTTAAAAAAGTTTAACATTCACGTTAATGGCAAGTATCTTGTTTTAAACTATTTTATTACTAAGAACTATGATTCAGTGAATAAAATTCTTCGTGACAACGTTTCACACGACCTTTACGACCCAAAAAGGGTCGGCAGTCGCGACAACTCTCGTTGTTCTTAGACAAAGAGACGCTGCATGTTTCCGCATTCTGTTTCAAATAGAGATGTGAACGCGATAGTATTAACAAACTACTTACTGAGTAGTTTTTACAGTTATTTTAATTCTAAACGCTTTACACTTCCTTTCTGTAATGAATTTAAATAAATGTTACTGCCACATCTAGAGTTAAATGATTACTAAAAGTTCGTGTAGATTTCTAATCTACACTTAGTCCTTATATTAGTGAGCATTTTGTAAGAGACATCTACACTTAAGTAAAAATTATTAAGAAATAAGAAAGGTCACTTATTTGCGAGTTAAATCTTACTTCTTACTAATATAATGAATGCGATGGTTTACTTAGATAGATGGATGTTTGTCAGAGTTTGTAGCCTAAACGTCTGAACGGATTTAGATGAAATTTGGCATACATGTAGAGGATAGTAGAACACATACGCTACTTTTTTTAATTGCACGCGGATGGAGTCGAGAGCGGAAGCTAATCTTCTATATTGAGTATAAGTAAAGATTTGATTGTCTTACGAACACCAGTTTACCACAAAGACAATACGCAGGCAGCGTGAGAAAACCGCGCTGGCGTGACGCAGGACCAGTTACTCATTGCAGTTGCTTTCAGGAGCAAACGCACGCGACTGCGGACACGTGTAGACCAACTCCGTGTATATACTGGATGTGGCCTCTCAAGGGTGAGAAGGGAGCTGTATTAGCTGGCCCAAGAGACACCCGCATGCTCTCACCTTTGTCCTATAGGTAGATAAGATATTTTGAATCTTATTGCAGATTTTTATAGAAAGAACTTGTTTTTGTTGACAAACAAACTGTTATTTAGTAATTTATCGCCTTATATTTACAAAAAAAAATGTTATAGCGATAGAGGTGTGGTCTTTTCCTGGACATAAATAAGTTCTATCCTTAAAATAGGAGTTCTACAATCGAATTCTGAAACGAATCTCAAACAGATTGCAAGGTAAGCGCTGCTAACAGTGTGTCAAATATTTAATATAATTTGGAGTAACGGTAGTCATTTATATGTTATTACATATTTAATTGTCGTTTTAGTATTTGGCCGCTAGTGAGCTCGGTGACGTATCCATATAATTGGGTTCGGTGTAATGTGCCGGTGAGTCAGTCCACGTGACCGCAACACCCGTGTCAGCTGAACGTTGTGTAACCCCTGCACTGCCACCACAATTGTTAAAGCAAACATAAACATTACATTTCTAAGAAATACTTACGTTAAGGAAGAATAATAAAGAATTATTAATGAATTAATTGACCTTGACTTTGCAGGTTCTGAGTTCGATTCCTCGCTGTAGCAAAAAGCAATTTTCTGTTCTTTGTTACTTCTATCTACATTTACCCCACGTTTTTACCGTGCAGGAAAACACGAGGACACCAACAAAACATATCTTATTTTATGTGTTAATTGTTAAAGTATTTATAAGATATTAAAAAAGTTTTTATAAAAATGATTATTTAAATATCATAAAAGTTGAGTTATACACTTTTACGGCGGACGATTGGGCAACAATTGCCGATAAGCCATGATAATAGATATTTAGTTGATAAGTGTTAATTGGCAGTCAGTTTTGTGATAGAGAGAAATACGTGTTTTTGTATTTTAATAAAATGCGTAAGTACATAATAGTACATAATAATATACAAGTATATAATTAAAGTTACTCATAAAACGTTGAAATTTTATTCAATTTATTCCACTGTATACCTTTGTTTGTCTTTATGACTTTATGTATTAATAATTTAAAATCTAATAAAGACTTTATTTCTAATGTAATAAGACGTAATTTCCATCACCAGTACTACTGTTCCTCATAAGCCCGGTGCTAGGGGCGCTAGTGTCCGAGCCCCAGCCGCCATCACCCCGTAGCTCCGTGGTCCCAACGCTCTCCTGGCTACCTGTTAGGCTCAACCACTTCGATGCCTCCAACAATGATACCTTCCTAATGGTTAGTACACGACAAATGTTGTAATTTGTCCATTTACACATATCTTCCATAGATCTCAAACAGTCGTCAACAATGAGATAATTTTAAAAATGCGAAGGTTTAGATGGATGTTGGTTAGAGTTTGTAGCCTAAACGTCTGAACGGATCTCGATGAAATTTGGCATAGACATACAGGGTACTATGGAAGAACACATAGGCCACTCACTTTTGTTTTTTTTATTCCACGTCGACGGAGTCGCGGGCGAAAGGTATTAACTAATAATTATTATTCTACTTCAGCGATATTACTACAATAATGAGTTCGCAACAAGTAACAACGTCGTGATAGTGGTAGGCGGGCCGTGGTCCATCGCCCCGGACTGGGTCACCGGCGGCTTGCCTCACGAATTAGCTGAGAAAATCGGCGCTGGACTGTTCTACACTGAACATAGATACTACGGACAGACAAGGCCTACAAGGTGAGTAATTTGACAGTGGTAGAGCCCGCTTTAACATCTTCGCACGAATGGGCCGGCTCGCCCGGTGCAATACCACGACCACACAGAAAACAGGCGTGAAGTGGAAGCAATTCCGCGTTTCGTCTGATGAGTGTGGTGCCGGAGGCCTAATTTTAGTCCCGTTCCCTTTCCACCCTTTTCTTATGAGGAAATGATGGGAAGGAAAAGTGGATTTGACGGTGAGGAGACGCATAGGAAGGGGAAATGTCCTCTTTATGTGCATCTCCTCCTCCGTCAATTAAGGGTAGGCAACGCATCTGCAATTGCGGATGTTTATGGGCAGCGGTCGCTTTCCATTTCGGTGGATTCAGGTGGCCGCTTGTTCGTTTGCCACCTTATATTATAAAAAAAAAAATATTAAAAATATTTTTATTAAAAAAAATGACCCAGTAAGGCAGGTAAGTATACCATATTCGAGCAGCCTAACGCATTTAGATATCTCTTAAATTTCCTGTGTTCTAGAGTAATATAATATGTATAAACCTGTTGTATAGACATGCAGTAGCTGAATGAATTCCATTTCTCTCACGTGCTCTGTGTCGCGCTGCACTCGATATGAATTCGCTTTGGCATCGGCACAATCGGATTCATATCGCCTCGTAGAATGCAGGTCACATTAATACGCGCAAGCGGAAATATTTATTTAATGTCGCTGCACCGAGATCGATTAAGAAAGCATTGAACAACCTTGTAACTTAATTGTGGATAAAGAAGATAATTTAATAAATAAAATATCAAAACAGTTCCAATTTCAATTTTCTACAATTTCAAACAAAATGTGTGAGGTTACCGCTACCTCTTGTGTATATAGCGTGACCGTTAACAGGGGTATTAATGCATACGACAGCGAAGCGACACGAGCACGACACGACACAGGAATCGAAGTCGACGTTTGTGAGGAGCACGGTAATATGATAGCTGCAATCTGATTACAATAGCGAGCCGCCACTCACACCGACATTGACATAACTTAGTTTTTAGTACATAATTTATAGTACTCTGTACTAAGTAACAATAGAAGCCTATACGGTATTTTGATTTGTCCCATAGAGAATATGCATGTATTTTTTTAAACGTTTTATATTTCGGTACTAAACCATATTCAAAAAAAATTTTGCAGATATTTTTTATAGTAATAAAGTAAAAAAATGATCCGATTTTACCTCATGTGCATATAAGCTATTGTTTTTTGTGGTTGTATTTACATTGTGTTTGGAGAATGAATAACGATTTTAAATCAATGCGGTTTTGTAAATAATTTTGTAAATACCCGGTTTAGTAAATACAGAAGACGCATTTTGTGATCTCATTGAAAATTTTGGACAAATCTTTCCTCAAGAGACAACGAGACTTCGAAGCCTTACTGTTTCAATCAGTATAAATACTTTTTAGATAAAGGCCTAATCTAGATTTGTACAGAGTTATGTTTTTAGTATAAATATTTCTTAAATCTTAAAATTAATGGCACTCTCGAAATGTAGTTCAAGCTACTATAGCTTGAAATTAGGTTTTCGGTGTGACAGGAGGCCCGATATCTAGCTGCAAATACTCCTACGGTACGGCTTTAGTATTTTGGTGCATCAATTAATGCAATTACATTCCCCTCACGACGCCACGATGTCAATTCTAGCACGTTCTGTAGTCTGTACCTATTTACCCAGTTTTCAACAACAAATTATCAGTATAAAATAAATCTTATTATTATTAATATTAATTCAAATAAATAAAAATATATCCTAGTCGATAACGGTCACCAATTAATGATAACAGATGGCGCTGACAACAATTGTAAATATATTTTTTAATTAATTTAAAAATAATTTGATTATTATGATTATTTGGCATATTTAGATTTGATTTTATTATGTTTTATAAGGTAGTTAATTGTAAAATTATAATTTTTCGAATTGGAAAAATATGGTGGATGAATATCTTATATCGTACTGGCCGCCAAGAAAAATAACAACTAGGATTTTAGGCGCGAATGAGAGTGCAAAATGTGAAAGAACATTTTGTGAATAGTACTATTTTATTTTTTTTACAATACTTTGCTTAAAATCTTTTACTCTCTATTACTAACTAAAACTAATTTAATGCAATAATGTCCATTCGAAATAATATATTTACCTTAAGTACAGATTTAAAGAAAGGTGTCCATTCTAGGTGTGGCATTGTAATCGAAGGCTGTATTGGTTCGGGCCCGCAGTAAACTGTCCGCCACATAATTATCTGAAGGGAAGGGGGCAGTAAAGCCTGCGCCAGACAATAACGACTCTTGGCGCGCTGCCAGTCGCTATGGCAACCATTGTTTTGTATTATCTCGGACAGTCCTAGAAGCTACGTTGTGCGTTGGCTATTTCAAAAGAAACAAATTAAAAACACTGAAATTATTCTTTGCATTCAACAAACTGAGATTGCAAGTTTGAAGTTTGAATATACATAAGTAAAATGTAAACAAATAGTTTTAATGTTTTTTTTAATTAGTTTCTGAATTAATTTAAAATCTATGGAATTGAACATTTCTCAATCTGATACTAGGGTTTTCGAAACTTAAATTTTTGAAGCTATTCGTGTTGAGGTATTTTAATTTGACTATTTCCTACAAATTACGTTATCACACGTGACCATGGATTGATTGGTAGTTAATGAAAAACGAATGCGAGAGTTGCTTTTTACGATTAAAAATAAATCCTACACACAATTACCACTTAAAACACTATCCTATAATTGTTTACACGCATGGTAAACGTACAATGGCCGGTTGGCAGTGGCTGACAAAGTATATCTTGTCCATTGTGCCGGCCGCTCGGTATGAACTGTTATTGGCCAAAGAGTTAGGTGGCTCCCGGCAATGCTGGGACTACAATTGTAATACCATTAAAACGAAACATTCAAATCAGGATCGATTTAAAATGCCAAAAGCCAATTACTGGGACTCGGATTGCGATTCGTAAAGTCGTGGATTTTAATGCTTCCTTCGATAGGTTACTTTCTTATCAAATACGAGCTGTTGCTCGCGATTTCGTCACCATGAAATTAAAAGATATAGCCTATGTTATCCATAGACAAATTACCTTTCTAACGGTGAAAGAAATTTTGAAATCGGCCCAGTAGTTTTTGTGTTATGACAATACACACAAAAATACAAATCTTTCCTCTTTATAACATTAGTTTTCTATGTTAGTTCCCTTTATTACTTATGTATCCTCTTTGTCAACTTTAACACGCACTCATAGTTAATAACTACACCCTGAGTGTAGAGGCAATTAGCATTAATGGCTAAATAAGCTGTTTGTTGCTATCGTTTTGAGTATAAAATTTCGTCACCATGTCCAGTCTCGTGCATGTGACAGGTATTGTGTGAAACTACCGGGGGCACGGGGGGCACGCGGTGGAGGGGACATCAGCCGCCTCTTGACCCGCGGGTCATTCGGACAATAGAACAATTAACCTAACTCGACTTAGGGTTGACGCTACTGATTACAGTCATCTTGCCTAACAAAGCCCAATAAAATACCAATGCAGTTGTTCAAAAATACCTTAGTATTGGTACCCCTTTGGAGGGATAATATATTCGATTATTTTACACTTATTGACAAGTTGTTTTAATATTGCCTGATTTAATGATTTTTCCAGTTTAATCCAAGAAAGAAATCTCCAACCAATTGTAGAAATAAATTTTAAATATACTGGTTTATATTAGGTAATATAAGCATGCAGTGCCAACCCTAGCAATTCATTTATAACAGTCCAAATCGTTCACTAACATCGGATTGTAAGTGCCACGCCCAACAGCAACGCAGCCCTACTGTAACGACCAGAGATTTATAAACTAACATAATGTTAAATTAGCTGGAAAACTTTAAATAATGAAATAACGAGATTAGGAGATTATCCTTCAAGTTAATTCAGCAAATTGCATAATAACGAACAAAGCCGAAGAAACTTACAATTATTCTGATTGTTTGAATTTAGAACTTTTGCGTAATTCGTCTTAGAAAAATGTGTTATTTTTCTTTCTTTATATTTTGCTGGCCTGTCAATATTTTCAAGGTAAAAATGCAACGAAAACGTTTGTCAACGTAACCATTTGGAGCCAATCATCGTATATTCTATTTATTAAGGAGGCCGTCCGTTCATGTCCTAAGTTCGAATCGAGTCAGCATTTACGTGCCTTTTTTCCCACGAGCTCCTTAACGGCTCATAAATTTCTTTCGGGCGATAAAACCCGCCCCTCCCCTCCCTTCCTCCCATCCCCCTCGTCGTTACTGTCACATGTAAAAAGATTCTGCGATGTCTTTACCCGATGTGAGAATGAATGGAATGAACTTTTAAGATATTTTTGTTGTTACAAAAAAGTCACGCTTGTATCGAAAGCTGTAATAGCTTTCTGTACATCGGGAATACTAAAACGACATCTATGTAACGGCGCGGCGTCTCAAATGATCACACTTAAACTGTTCGAAGCGTAGTATTTGTGATTCGTTTCAGAATTCGACCGTTACATTTGTAGTACAAAAACCATTATAGTCTGCTTGAATTCGATTGTTTGTTCCAGTTTATATCGTAAATTACTGAATAGATTTTAAAAAAATCTTTCACAAGTAGAAATTCGAAGGAATGACGAGTGTCATAGACTTATTTATTTATTACTAGCTTTTACTTGCGACTGCGACCGCGTGAAATTAAAAAATAATAAATATATAGCCTATGTTACTGATAAAGTATCTTTTTAATGGTGTAAGATTTTTCGTAATCGGTCCAGTAGTTTTTGATTTATTTCAATACATACAAAAACACAAATCTTTCCTTTTTATAATGTTAGTGTAGATGTAATCTGTTTATGTTGCAGCGACACTTCAGTCCCGGAGCTGAGGTTCCTGAGTACAGACCAGGCGCTGGGGGACCTGGCGCAGTTCATCCAGCACGTGAAGAGTGACCAGTTCGAAGGTGGAAGGTTCAGGTAATACCGTTATAACTTACCGTGCCAAACTTGCAGAGAGTCAAGATTTTCTCACAAAAATCCGATACATTTTAATCTCTAAACTGCAGGATTAACTTTATTATCTGTGTTAAAAACCGTTTATTTCCTATTAATCCTCGTCTTAATATAACTAAATGCTCGTCTCCTGTGTGTAGTCTGTGATTATCCGCTTCACCCACAATAGAACAATGCTCACCCGTGGGAAACTATTGTACTAATTGCAACCTTAGTGGTTACCTACATACAAGGAAGAATGTTTCTAAATGTATTATTCATATAGACATCGTATTTATACAGAATAATAACCTTTTTGAGTTTTATAACTATAGACACAAAACTATTGGATTCGTTTAGGTTTTTAAAAAAATCTTAGGTCCTAAAACGAAGTTTTACAAGTCCTAAAAAATTAGCGTAGCAACAATATTTTATAAGCATTTAACGTTTAGCTTTGAATACAGAATATAGCGTTTTATAAAACCCGTCTCCATTTATGTCTACATTTACAACACTATAGAAAAATTAAAGACAAATTTAGATGTCCAACAAGGTCCAATTGCCGTGGGATTAGCAGACAAACAAATAGCATCCCACGCGTGAGCTTGCGGAAGTTGTTTAGACCACTGCCCACTAACTCCGCAATACAACATCCTCTTTGATTAACACATTTACATTATTGTTCTTATAGTGATTACAACAATCTTCAACATTGTATAAAACAACAAAAAAATGTAGCAAGTAAAACAAAATTATATAAACATATCTGTTTTTTTGTAAGAAAGTCTCGACCTCACCAATAGATGGCGCTTTACTCATTCATCCGTGGCATTTAGAGTTAGTATCTTAATTCCATTTGGTAGAAACTTTGTCTAGTAGTTGAAATAGCTTTGACATGATCTATTGTTTAAATTGCGATCGAATTTTGTTAGATACATATTCTTTTTCACATAAAATTCACAGCCGTTAGTATGAAGAATGTTAAAATCAGCTTTCGCCCGGGTTTTCGTCCGTGTATAATTAAAAAAAGTGAATAGCCTGTATGTATGTTCTTCCAGATTGCTCTTTACGTATATGTCAAATTTCATTGTAATTCGTTCTGCCGTTTTGGCTACAAACTCTAACAAACATCCATCCATCCGTCCATATTATTAGTAAGATAGAGAATGTCGTGTGTAGCGGGGGACAGGTGGCGCTGGCGGGCTGCGCGCTCGCTGGCAGTCTGGCCACGTGGATGCGGCTCGCCTACCCGCACCTCGTCTCCGCCGCCTTTAGCGACTCCGGCCCCTTGCTCGCGCAGGACGAGTTCGCAGGTCAGCTCTCACACTTCAGCGTGTACATTCAGCTTCACCTTACACAGTCATCTCTGGCAAATGTAATGAAATGGCAAGTAATGGTCATTTGAAAGCTGCAACAAAAAATAAAATATTGTAAAAGTTGAGAAATTGAGCTGAGAAACAGACGCACATATTCTTTCTTCTGTCCATTCCTTTCCACCTTGAGAACCAACTAATAGTGAATTGTATTTGTGATATTTAAGATGTGAATCTGTAACTTTAATTTTAATGTAAGTTTAAGTTTTAAAGGATTTTAAAGAATAAAGAATACACTCGATCCTCAAGTCTCTGACGAAAAATATGTTAGGGCAATGATCGGAAGGGGTAAGTCCGCCCTTTTAAAAATAGTGAATCGTAAAGTTGATGTACAATTTTGTGTCGCAGAATATCTGGAGGTGGTATGGGAGGCTCTGAGGGTACAGGGAGGCGCCGAGTGCGTGGCGACGCTCGACGAGGCTATGGAGCGATTGTTCGCCGATATGTTAACGCAGGAAGGCCCAGATAGAATATCTAGGATGTTTAAGTAAGTAACAAATATGCACTAAATTTGTGTACCGGTTCGAGCTTATTTGTCTTACTCGCGGTCGAGAGAATCTTATGACGACATTGACCATAAACCAAAATACTCTGTCCCCAGCACATGTACCCCCATTAATGGGTCAGACCCACTGGACACGACAACATTCTTCTGGTGGGGAGTGCTGCAGCCCCTGGCTCGCCTCGTGCAGTCCGCGAGGCCTGGGGATATCGCAGGAGTGTGCGATGTGCTAACCGACACCAGTGTCCGTAAGTATCTGATAAAAACATCAAATAAGAGAATTAAAAAACATGTATGGAATAGCATCTGTGGAATGAAAGCTAGATTTTGACTTATTTGCAAATTTGAATCTTGTCTGAAATGGAAGTAATACATATCTCTTTTAGATTTCAGTCAAGTGAAAATAATTAGGTTGCCCATATAACGTATTAGAGCGGACGCACACCTTTGACTAGACAATCGCAGACTGTTGTGCGATTGTCTAGTAGATTGTTTTGCAGCCAATTCAACAGTTTTCCCAACTAATCGAGTAGAGTGCTCTCCATATAAGCTCATAGGAACACGAGACGAAACAGTTGTTCGATAGTTTAGTCAAAGATGTGCACACTCTAAACATTAGCACCTTTACAAGCGGTGGTCACCGAGCGGCTGGCCAGCTGGGTGACGTCACAGGCGGCGGGCTGTCTGCAGGCCAGCTACACAGCGCTGCTCGCGGAACACACCAACACTAGCTACGACGCCCCGCGCTCTGCTGGTAAATATATACAGAACATCACTAGGCTAATCTAAGCTTTTTTTTTCAGTGAACATCGCAATAAATATACTTTGTCCCCAGGGTGGGACAGGGTTTTTTTTTTAATAGGCGACTCTATGTCGCCCTCTCTAACCTCTAATGTGAGGATCGGGGCGTTTTTTTTTTCAGCTTTTAATTCTTTATTTAAAACCAGCTTTCGTCCGCGAATTCGTCTGCGTGGAATTAAAAAAAAAACTAAAGTGAGTAGTCTATGTGTCCTCTCAGACTATCCTCTACATCTATACTAAAGTTCATCGAAATCCGTTAAGCCGTTTAGGCTACAAATTCTAACAAACATCCATCCATCTAAACTTTCGCATTTATAATATTAGTATATAGTATGATTTATAATTTAAAAAACATTGCAATATACTACTAACATTAAAGTGGGATAGGGTTATACCCACTAAAACCCTCACGATGGCCATCCTCTAGGCACCTAGAGAAATGTTCAAAATTCGAGGTTAAGCAGTTCAAAGTTTTAGGTACAGTAAAACTGATTGCCCATCAAATCTATCGGGAATAATAAATTGAACAGCTTTGAATCTACATCAATTTGTTGAAGCAAATACAACCGTAGCGGTATATAATTAAGTTACAAATCTGAATACATCAAGCAATCCGGACGTCCGCGAACATTTTGCATTACAAATATAATTTCCATTGACAGCGCAATCCGCCGCAACGCAAATTATACTGACTCAAAACGAATATATTAGAGAGTTTTCTCTTTGAATTTCGTTTAGTAAAGCACATCTGTTACGTGTTTTAATTTAACTCTTCGCCGTTTCAAAAAATGTTTTATTAAAAGCACTAATATTTGTAAAAAGAATCTGTTTCTTGGACACCGCGAACGAAGGTGACTGTACTTTTATGTGTACTATTTCCAATGTAATAATTAAAGACATTTAAAAATCCATGAACGAGGAATACTGAACAAAATTTATTTACCGGTATTTTTTCTGAAAAGTGTAAAAAAATGCCTCTTCAATTATTTTTTTATAATCTCTATGATAATCTATACTAATATAAAGAGATTTTTATTTTTGTACGTATTGAAATAACTCAAAAACTCTTGGACTGATTTCAAAAACTATTTTACCATTAGAAAGCTAAGTTATCACTGAGTAACATGGGCTATATTTTTTAATTTAACGCGGAATTTTATTCCAGATCGTCTCTGGATGTATCAGTCGTGTGTGCAGTTCGGATGGCATCATACCACGGCCAGCTTCTACTCCTTCCACAACGCGGTCGCTCTCCCGTACTTCAGAAATCTTTGCCGACAATACTTCTCCGATGAGTGAGTTAAATTACTTTTCCACTAGCACGACTGGATGTATCACACTGGCCGCGCTACTGGACATTTTGGATCCTTCTATGCTTCTATACTAATGTTATAAAGAGGAAAGATTTGTATCGTTGTATGTATTGGAATAACTCAAAAACTACTGGACCGGTTTAAATAAATTTTTCACTATTAAAAACGTAATTTATTTGTGACTAACATGGGCTATATTTTTTATTATTTTTTAATGTAACATGGACGGAATCGCGAGCAACAGATAATCTTGTATAACGCCATCTAGTTGGAAATTTAGCAATCACAAACTATTGAAACTAAAAAGTTTTCGTTGGTCATTATTTATTTCAGATATAATTTAATTAGTGCCGTATGTAGTTTACAATTACGTATTTTTATGAATAAATTAGTTAACATAAAAAGGTTTTAAAGCTTTTAAAATGTAAAATTGTCGCTGTACAAAAGAAAACTTTAGCATAATCTGGCAAAGATTTTAATAATTCATTTGGATTATTATTCATAGAGCGGCAGCGCTTAAAGTGCTTTCTGTTGAAACAATGCTGCGGAGAGCTAATTGTACATACTTTTATACAGGACTTGCGTCGCTGCAGCGCTTTCAGCTGCAATCAATACATTTTCACATTCTAATAACCCTTAATTTGACAGATTTTTGTGTGTAATAATTTTATATGTAAACACACTAAAATTAAAGCCTTGTGTTTTTTTTCTCTAAATAAGTTTAGTAGAATTTTTAAATTGGATGTTTTTCACACTGGATTATCAAATTAATCTTGTAAAAGCTTAGAATTCAATTTTAACATACGACCCCAGAGATATGGAAGTAAATAAATAAAAAAAAATGCAAAAGTACAATAGCTTACTTTTGGATTACGTTTACGTTTACAAACTTTATAATTGGTAATTTTATAAATGCTAAAGTTTAGACGGGTGGATGTTTGTAAGTCTTCCATACTCACTTTTGTTCATTTAATTCCATGCGGATGGAGACGCGGGCAAAACTTGGTATTAGTATAGACTAGCTTTCGCCATCGGCACCGTTCGCGTGGAATTAAATAATGCAAAACAAAAATGAGTAGCCTATGTGTTCTTCCAGACTTTCCGCTACATCTATGACAAATTTCATCAAAGTCCGTTCAGCAGTTTAGGCTACAAACTCTAAAAAAACATTCATCCATCTAAACATTCGCATTTATAATATTAGTAAGAAGTAATATTACAACTTCGAATAACTAAAAAGCTAATATAAGTAATAATTAATGAACAGTTTCGACGACACTCTCCAATGGGAAGGTATAGAGCGTACCAACTTGTTGTTCGGAGGTCTGTCTGTTTTGCCGGACCGCGTGCTCTCTGTGGCGGCACGACACGACCCCAACTCTCTGCTGACTCCTAACACGACACATGCGACACAACTGTCCCCCGTGTATGTGCTGCAAGAAGGCTCCCAGTGTCAAGTTATCAGGTATTTAACTCATCTATATTAAGCACCTCATCCTACCCCCGTAGGGTCCAAATAACTCTATCATACGTCATCTCAGTCGTTCCCTTGATCATGTCACTTTTCACACAATTCATCTCATTCTATGTCTACTTCAATCGCTGTCCACACTAATACTCGTAAGTAACGTTAACTCCTTGTAACATGCGATTTATCCCTCCTCATAACATGCCCATACCATGCTAACCTTTTACTCCTTACCTTTTCTACTACTGGGGCTAATCTCAAACTTCCTCTAATATCATTTTATATCTTATCCAATCGTGATTTATTTGACTTTTAATTATAATATGGTATAGAAGCAAGCAAAACGATTTTGTTCAAATTTGAAACGAATGCTCGTCATATTCATTAGCATTTGCAGATTCGTTGCCTTACTTCAATTTAGAAGTGAGTGCACAGGAAAAATATATTTCCCCTTCCTAAACGCTCCATTCCTCAAGAAGAGCCCACACATTAGTGGTTATCACTGTTTGTTAGCAAACAACAAATCAGGATTATTCTCAACCGTCACCCCGCTCTGTCCCCACGCGAAGACAAATGAGGAGACGGCTGCAACTTATTATATTTCATAACGGTTCCATCTGCCACCTTATTGGTGATAGTGGGACTAAAAGTTGGACGGATGAAACGTTTTATTCTCACGTGGGGTCAGAGCGGTGTGACGGTTGGGAATAAATCCCATCCTCACGTGGGGACAGAGCGGTGTGACGGTTGGGAATAAATCCCATCCTCACGTGGGGACAGAGCGGGGTGACGGTTGGGAATAACCCTCTTCCTTACGTGGGGACAGAGTGGGGTGACGGTTGGGAATAATTGCAAAATCATCGTTAATTAGTACTACTTGAAGCATTTTTATGAAATTTGTATAGAACTTAACTATGATATTTCAGTTCTTCAGAGGAGAGCGCGCCGCCGCATGTGCGCGCAGTGCGGCGCGCGGCGCTGCTCAACATGCAGGAGCTGGTAGCGGGCAGACCGCCCTCGCACGTCGCCGGCGCGCCCCCACTCGCTCCTGTTATACTCATTGTACTACTAGCCTCGTTAGCTCTTGTACTATAAAATATACATGTTTGTTTACTCATTTGTGTTTTTTTTATAACAAACTCTGAGGTATCATATTACCAATATCATAGTAAAGAATATTAATAGTGGTAGAGCCCGCTTAACATCTTCGCACGAATGGGCCGGCTCGCCCGGTGTAATACCACGACCACACAGAAAACAAGCGTGAAGTGGAAGTAATTCCGCGTTTCTTCTGATGAGTGTGGTGCTGGATGCCTAATTTTTTTTTATAATAAAAGAAGGTAAACGAGCGGCTTGAACACCAAGGTGGTCAACGACGCCCATGGACATCCGCAACACCAGAGGACAATTTTGGTCTCTTTCCCGTTACACCATTTTCTTCTACGGAAAGGATGGGAAGGGAAAGTAGATTTGACGGTGGAGGAGACGCAAAAGAAGGGGGAAATATCCTTAGTTGATTTAAAGGTAGGCAACGCATCTGCAATTGCGGATATATACGGGCAGCGATCGCTTTGCTTTCTTGGCGAATCCAGGTGGCCGCTACTTATTCGCCATCTTATGATATGAAAAAACAGCCTTCATTAGTTCTGGAAAATAGTCGTATCACGCTCTAGTGGGATCAATCTATTATTACGGACAGGACTATTGCTGCAAATAGGCCTGATATAGTAATAATAGATCGGTCTGAGAGTTGTGTAATGTTAGTCGATATCACTATCCCACATGACGAGAATCTCGTAAAAGCCGAAAATGAAAAATTATTAAAATATTTGGATTTGGCTCACGAGATTACCGCCATGTGGCGTATGAAATCGACTACCATTATTCCGATAGTCGTTTCGGTGCACGGGCTAATAGCGCAGAGCTTCGACCAACATCTCAAGAAGCTCTCGCTAGACTAAAAGGCAATTATTTTAGAAACCGCACGCATTGTATGGCGGACCTGTTTCTGTAGCCCTGACCACTGGTTGCTTAAGTCATCAGATTCCGCAGCCGGTGGTGCTCTAATTTACATATTTTTTTTTGTACAAATAATGTAAAATATATTATGTTAAATAAATAAAAATAAATGTACGTGTATAAACAACTGTAATATAATTTTAAAAAGTTTTCATCACAACATTAACCTTACAAATTAAACGTTGAATAACAAAATGGATGACGTCAATGTCAAAAACTTTAGGGTTCAACCGAGGCACGAATGAATCGAAGTTTGTTGAAAGTTATTGTTATAAGTTCTCAGCCACTTCCGGCGGCCATTCATAAACCTCCAACTTGGCTCCCTTCCAGCGCAACAGCCATTTCCCTCTCGCATTGTTACATGTTTTTAAAAGGATTTTTTTTACCATTATCGTAAATGGTATGATATCTCTTTCGGACAGTTTCAAAGTGCGGAATGACAAATGCGTTATGAATTAAAAGATTTTCTAAATCTTTTTTATTGTGACAATTATAAGATAATCGTAAGAATCTCAGATTGATCTATTTAAGAGCGCGCACGTTTGACAAAACTATCGTACGACTGTTTAGTCGCGCTTTAGTTTCTATGAGCTTGTATGGAAAGCACATTACTAGATATTTAGTTGTGCAACTAAACAGTTAAATTGGCTGCGAAACAATCGAGAATCGCAGAATAATTGTGCGATTGTTTAGTCAAAGGTGCCCGCTTTTAAGTTAGAAATGAACAAATATCAACATATTAGATACGCATTGTACAGACACATAAGTAGCTAATAAAAGGGTACAAGTAAAATTATAAAAACGATATGATATACTGGGGGTGACAGACGCTGTGTGTCAGGCGACGTAAATCTCCGCGCACGTGTCCGGCGACAGGCACATATGTGACAAGTTTTATTGCTCACAGTTTCTTTTATAGTTATAATAAAATGTGTGATCTCGAATAAATGCAAGCCCAAGTCGATATAAAGACAATATGAACATATCAATTTCTCAGTAATTAAAAAAAAATATTGCGTTTTTATCATCTTTTATTTTCTATTTTCCATTTCATTATCTTCAAAAATACCATTTTATGGAATAGAGTCACTGAAAGGTCATACTCTAGTTTCAATTTTAAATTGCATATTTTGCAATCTCTCTTTATATTGGTATTTTCAATTTCTCTCAAATTTAAAAGAAATATTCTTGAACGTTTTAATTTAACATCTCTTGAGATCATTCAGACTTACAATTTTGTATTGAACGGATATTTTATTTATTACTAGCTGTTGCTAGCGACTTTGCCCGCGTGAAATTAAAACATAATAAAAATATAGCCTATGGTACTCAGTCTATAAGATTATAATAATACAAAGATTTATATTTTTGTATGTAATAAGATAACTCAAAAACTACTGGGCCGATTTCAAAACTTCTTTCACCATTAAAAAGCTACGTTGTCAGTGAGTAACATAGGCTATACTTTTTAATTACACGCAGGCGAAGTCGCGGGCAACAGCTAGATTGTTATAATTTCTCATATCCATTGAATATCTATCGATAGTGTTGAGAGCAATCAAACCCATGTTGAATTTGTATCAATTGAATTATTTTACAAGCTCATCTGCGCTCGTTTTGTTTGCATTCGATTACCGCGCGCTCAGTCATTCAATCGCACACTCGTTCACAATGGTCCGACATTCATTCACTCGCTGGTCGTTAGTCCGCCATGTTTGATTCAATGTTGGCTCAATCACTAATTCATTCACTCGATTGGATTTTATTTAATTTATATCGATATTGTCAATAATTTTGCATATCATTATAGTTTTATGTAACGAACTCATGAGCGACGTATGCTTGTAAAAGAGATGCGTGAGAGAACCTCGCTATTAAATATGTATTCTCTGCCTACCCCTTCTGGATAACGGGCATGATATTTAAATGATTTGATAGATAAGTATTACGTAATCTTACTAATAATATAAATGCGAAAGTTTAGATAGATTGATGGATGTTTGTATGAGTTTGTAGCCCAAACGGCTAAAGGGATCTCGATGAAATTTGGCACAGACGTTGAGGTTAGTCTGGAAGAACACATAGGCTAATCACTTTTGTTTTTTTTTTTAATTTCACGCGGACGGAGTCGCGGGCGAAAGCTAGGGAAAAGCATATATGTATTCTACTTCGCTTACTATTTGTATCGTGGACGGTTTTTAGAATTTTTGAAATCTCGTCAGGAAATAAGAATTTCATTTTCCATAATCAGTTTTCTATAACAAACAAAAGTATGAAGAATACAAATCATATTAGAGAATTCCGCAAGAAAATCTCGCGCAGGAAAAGTTGTTGATGATGAGATTAGAGCTTAACTTGAGGACTAACTGAGTTAGCCCGGCGCCGCTCAGACCGCCGGCTTGATGCCGCGCTGCCACTGCCACGGACAGGCAAAATGAATATAACTATATTAACATTTGCATATTTAGTAACAATCTTTAGTCCGACACACTTGCTTGACTCGGTGGCCATGGATTATGTCTATTGTTCGATTAATTCTACGCTGAGGGCTTCCTGTGAGTGCGGAATTGAATTGTGTAAAGAATATGATGATGCTTCAATGTAAAGTTGTTATTTTTTATCATAGAAAATAACATGTCAATTGCGTTGTAAGATTTTCTTGCCAATTGTTTTGTTTTTCTTTTCCGTAACAAAGTCTTTGGCTATTTATCTCAGCGGACAGACATCGCGCTTTGCTGGAATCCTTCCAATTCTAAAACAAAATGTTTAACTGAGAGATTACACTCGGAATACATTTCAACAATTAAGTTGCCTTACTTAACAACCAGTGGCGCCTTTCGTTTTGTAATAGCAATGTTTACTAAATTAAAATTTTAACTCTACAGTAAACTGAAGCAGACTTTGTGACATTTTTTCAGTTTTATGAAGAAGAAAGAAAAGAGCTAATTATGATTAGAGCTAATTTTTATTTCACAAACTTTTTTTACGTTATTATTTACGTCAAAAAAATTGTTATTGCAATTTTTTTAATTCAAAACAAAAAACACGTTTTGCTATAAACATTAAGATATGATATGGCTTATGATTACTTAGAAGTCATGTTCACTTGTAACTTAACACAACTTGAGCGTTCAGGACGCTGCACAAGTAGACTTAAGTTACAAGCGCTCCGCAACTTGTCGCTCTCTGGGGTGAAGTCCAACTTAGTTCGTTGAAAAACATTCACACAAGCTACAGTACAATACTTTACGTAGTATCGTATTTAGAGCGGTCGTACACCTTTGACTAAACAATCGTACCACTGTTGTGCGATTGTCGATTGTTTTGTAACCAATTCAACTGTTTAGGACAACTAACAATCGATTAGCGCACCTCCATATAAGCTCATAAAATCAATGCGTGACAAAACAGTTGTGCGATATTTTAGTCAAAGGAAGCGTGTGCTGTTGTGACAAAATTATAATGAAGTTAAATATAAACGTAAAGGAATATCCAGGCAGTATTTTATAAGAGAAGGAGGTAAACGAGCATGCTGAGATGTCATCGACGTCCATGGACATCGCAATACAAGCGGCGACGCGATGCCGGCCTTTGACAATTATGACTTGAGGGTATTGTTATACTTGTGTCATATACTAAATCTATACACACCTATGTATACAACTGGAGTGTCTGTATGTAAAAATATGTACTTCTAGAACACGAAAAGAAAAACTCTGTACGTAAATTGACGTTCCGAGGAATCTCCAAAACGGCTTGCCCGATTCGTTGACACTTGAAAGAATATCCATAGGTTACTTTTTCTTGATTCGGGTAGACGATGTCGCAGGCTACTGCTAGCTATCCAAAAATATTCGTTTTATATTCGAATGTGGTCTGGACATAACTTTCCTTATAAGTTAACTCATTATTTGCTCAATAATGGGATTTTAAGAAGAAATTATTATGCTTAATTTTATTATTAATTATTCACGGAATTAATATTAATTAATTGATATTAGATTAAGGAAATAACTGCATTATATTTAGGTATCTTTACTTTAATGTATTGTATAATATACTAGCTTTCGCCCACG